AAATTCTAGTATATACGCATCTAGAAATCCCCTGTTAATGGAAAAGAAAGTTTTACTGCGACAAGCGCAAGATATTATTTTTTATTCTTAGAAGCATAAGCAAATGTTTTCTCACTAAAAGTCAATCTCTTTTTTGGAACTTTCATTTTTCGAGCTATCGAATGAAAACTAATAACCTAGTGGGGCACGTCTTTCTTGAAAAGAACCACGGGTTCACGAGCGCAATCCTTGAAATGCGATCCCATGTGACGAAACTAACTTACAAAAGTAAAGATTTTCGAGACAGTTGAGCATTATGCTCTCTAGGAATACGATTCCAAAAACTCCTCCAATAATGGTCCAACTTTTTTAGGAAAAAAAAAGTCTATAGTAATTCAAATCTAGCTTTGTGATCCCAAGAAATCCTCTAGCAAATAGAAAAAGTACTGCGGTTGCAAAATATTATCCTTTATGCATTGTGTAAACTTTTACTCAGGAAGCTTTCTATCAAAAGTAAAGTTTTTAGGATATTATTAACTATGAAAACTTTATGTAGACAAAAGAAAATGTCGAATAACAACTGGAAACACAATCCTTTTCGCAAGAACGTGGTTTTGTTTTTTTGAATGAAAGGGCAAGATTTTGGTAGCAATTAACGTTGATTTCGCTAAAATTATTCACACAGGAATCTCATTAATGATATTCTAAATTTTTGATGACAGTCTTTCTCTGAGAACCTAATTAACCCAAATTTCTATTGAAGCACGCACTTTTCTTCGTAAGCGGCTGAACGGCGAGCACAGCTGAGGGTTATATTAACAATCATCGTCCACAAAAGGATATTTATTACTACAACAAAACTGTGTACCATATAGCACAAGCACTTTTGACAGGACTGCACATGATTTATATGATAGCGAACAAGCCATAGGCTACGAAACAAAAAAACGAGGTCCCTGCGAGATTCGAACTCGCGTTACTGGATTCAAAGTCAGGGTGCTAACCGCTACACTACGGGACCGCTAGTGACCAAACTTGATGTGACACTTAAGGAACCAACTGACTGATTATGATTCTCAAAGAGACACTATCCATTGCCACTGGACAGAGAACAAGGAAGGTGTTAATTATTTTACAGCATATGAATAACTATTGTCTAACTCAGTTTGATGATACTTCCACATAAATCCTAACAGAGCTTGCTAACTGGATAGGCCACTTATGTTTGAGCTGGCACTTCACGTTTCATTTCACCCTTACAACAGATTTTCGATTAGGCTTGATTCCCTATCTCACGAGTCCTATTAGTGTTTATGCTCATTCAGACAGATATTAGTGCAAATCAAGTGAAAGGTCCTAGTTGAAAGTGTTGGTTTTAATAAAAATCTTCCATCCGATTCACACGAGAGGCAACTGTTCCTTCAAAGATTTCAGGAACCGTAAGACAACTAAATAACACTGGTAACGCACAAATAATACATTTTCTAACAAGGAAACTATTTTTAGTTCAGTATGATTTTTAAGAATGTTTAAAACCTTGACGAAGTTGGTACGACAGAGCCATACACGCGTGTTTTATAGGACTCCCATCCTCGGTATGATCCACGCCCCACATTTAGTCCTTCATTGTAACAAGGAGGGAGGTGAATGTACAATGACATTGTGGCTAACACCACTTTTCAGTTGGTTGATCGCGGCTGGTTGTTACAAATTGATCCATATCGTCGACCTCCTTGCTCAATGCAGGGCTTAATGTCGGGAGTGGGCCACTGAGAGGAGGGCGAGACCTCCGAAACACGTGTGCATTGCACTTGTGTACCAACCTCGCTAAGGCTTTGAACATTCTCTAAAACTTGTGTTGAATGCTTATTGCGAGATTTCAAAAACAGTCGATACTATGGATCAATTTGTATCCTTACTTCGTCAGGCACTGGGTTCTACCGTTTATGAAGTCAGGCAATTATGAGAAAAGTAGGAGGCGATTATATCTCGAGATTACTTGATGACAATGGAATCGGATTAAACGAACAAGGCAATTGTGCGCCATTTTGACGGAATTTTTTGTTTAGGATTTGTTAAGTGGAGTTTTTCGTCCAAACCTTCACGATCGATCTTGCTTATTCATTTATGCGGTTTCCATTGTCTTCATTGTTCATCTTCAATTCAGGCATTATTAGGAGATCAGGATCACGATTCAGTACCAGCAAACCGGTGAAGCCAATGATCACGAAGTAGATAAAGTATAATAAAGATTAACGCTTTTAGCTTTGATCAATCTATGAGAGAAGCGTTACGCATTCGTCTTCATCTAGCATCATTCGGAGTTATTGAATGTATGTGTGACATACACAATGACTTGCGGTGACTCAACAATGCATCAAATTACTGCTGCTATTTTCCAGGACAAACTTGTCAGCAATTCTCAACTCTGCAGGGATAGAATGCTTGGTGAGCCTTCAACGCGGATTAAAACTCTCGATCATTGATTGATCGACTACGTATGTGTCACAACTTTTTCAGTCGATGGATCACGGCTGGCCGACGAGGTGGATCAATTCATTTATCTACGAGCAAGGTTATGTAGGACGTGCGTCACTGATGAAGAGTGCGATAACTCCGAAACACGTGTACGGCTCTGACGTGACAACCTCAGTACGGCTTCAGACATTCTCACAGACTATGATATGTGCTATGTTATCAGCTGAATAAGGTGAATATTATTCATGAAATCCTGCGAGTTTCATCATTTAAAATTTCAATGCTTTGATACGAAATAAAAGTGGACGCAGCACTAGAGAATCTGGAAAAGGAATTGGGTTTGACTGCTTGGTGAGCAAGTTGAAATTTGGGCGTGGCACGTAACGTGGTCGCGCGGCGAGCACGGCGGGCCACAGTCACAATGCGGCAGTGTTCTGATGAAATTTCTGCTTTTATCATCATTGACGGGATTTTAGTCGTCAACAAATCATAGCAGGTGATAGGAGAGAGATTATGAAAGCTATTAGAGCTGAAGCTAATACGAGTATTTTTCATATAATGTAACCGCACTCAACGCAATTATCAATGAAAACTGGAGGCTTCTAAGCCAACTTAATGTTTTTTTTTACCAAAAATACGTTTAGAAAGGTTCATCTAACGACGATCTAATTTTTCGTAGCGAAAAAGTTTACTTAGCATCAAAATTTTACTATGTAATGCCGAAAAATCCGTTGTGGATCTGTAATAACAGGCTTTGAAAGCTAAACCTTAACTTTTTCTTTGTTTGTAAAATGTAATACTCAAAATTAAGAGGACCCTATAACAAAGATTTCCAAGGTTTCAGGAGCAATTATCCCGATTTACATGTAACAGCGTCCATGAGAAAGTCGAGACTCTCAACAGTTCAGTAGGCCTCAAATCCAAACAATTCTGTAAATGAGGGATGGAAGAGAAGAATCGAATGAAAGGCGTGTTGACAATTGAATGATATGAGGAGATAAGTTACTTAGATAGGTAAAAGGATTGTCATACTAAAAGTTCACAGCGCTAGTCAATATTGCTTTATAGTTTTCATTACTGGTTAACTAATAGATAGAACAATTTGTAATTTGTTCGACTATTCTTTCGAAGCACTCACTCACTTCATAGCAGAAGTGACTCGGATCGGCTGTCCACAATCATTCATCTTTCCGATATCGGTATCAGTAGTCGCATTAAATCACATTTATTGGATCATCACGCAAATAAACTATTTGCACTTTGATGAATCTTGGTTTGAAGAGCGGTGGTCGACTGTTAATAAATAGCTACCAAACATACCCAATGTACATCAGACTGAACTTAGTTGGTTGAAAAGAACAATGCTTCTTTGTGTGTCAACTAATCCAATGTCGCCCATTTCGTCATGCATTATCCGGTGATGCACAAATGATGATGATAAGGGAGCTGGTAGAATTTGGTCTTGGCCAACCAAGCCTTCTGTCCCTTCTGTGCTTTCAAAATCTCATTTGCGCCAAATTTGCCTGGGATAAGTTTTCTCTCTGAAGCCGTCGTAAAAACATTCTCATATAACTAGTCAAGAATAAACTTGACCAATATGAAAATATGTCGTCCAACAAATGCGGTCGAATATTCTTCTGGTGCCGTCTAATTTAAAGGTATCGAAAAGCGCCATTAAGAAAATTGATTAGATATTTGATAAACAAGAAATCTTGTAATTTATCTGCATTTCACTGGTAGTATGATGTTGCAGATAAACTCAGCGCTTCAGATATACCCAGTGATGTAGAGTGATGTGCAAGACTTTTGCGTCAACTGGGACTCGAACCTGCATCTCACTCTATCCAGGTGCGCATTCTCTAATCCATTGCACTAATGGCGCCCATTTTACACACCACTCTTTCTACGCTACAGCGCATGTGAAGCGTAGAAAGAATGGTGTGTAAGATGGGCGTCATTAGTGCAAAGGATCACATCTCGCGATTGCGAATAGAGTGAGAAGTGGGTTCGGGTCACGCGTGACGCAAAAGTTTTGCACATCACGCTACATTGTTGGGTATAGCTGAGACATCATGCCACCGCTAAAAGCCGTCAAACAAAAAGATTTCGGTTTGATCATTTAAAACTCAATATTGTTAAGCGATGTGCAAGGCTCTGATCTCAGGCGGGACTCGAATCCCCATTTCACCCTTTCGGGAGGTGTGTGCATAACCAGTTGCACTACCGGCACGTGTTTTGCCGCCGCTCTTACTACGCTACAACGTATCACTCTGCCAGCAACTAACCCTCTATGATTCGATGAAATTAGTGCTGTTAGTGGTAATGGAAACCGTGATGACAGCTTTATTCAATAAACTTCAGGTAACGTGGAAGTGACGACGTTCGTTTTAAAGGGAGAATGCCAGTATAGATTTTGATCCAACTTTTACGTTTGACGTGATACCGTCACCGGTCTCAAGTGAATGTTATTGCTACAGTTTCTTTATCTACTACTCAAAATTTTACATAATTACCCAATGCTGCTGTGTTCTGCGCAAAACTCTGATGTCAGGCGGGACTTAAACTCGCTTTTCACGTTTTCTAGGAACATGCGCTTAACCAATTGCACTACCGACATCTGTTTTGACAACACTCTTTCGACGATACAGCACGCCAACCTGCCAGCAACCAACCGTGATCAGTTTGGTTTGGCATGTCAAATTGGTATTGGTCGTAGCTGCGCTGATAGATATCGGATATAAGTGATCGACAAGATTTTTTTTATCTAACCGTTTTTTAGTGGTGCTGTGATGCCGCAGCTGACTCGGTACAGCGGGAGGACACCATAAGTCATTGTAAAGGTCAGATGTGCAATCATTCACCTCAAACGAAGTTAAAAATAAAGACGAATGCATGACGCATCTTTCAGGGATTAATTAGCTCCAAGAGCTTATCCTTTAACATTTATGAGGCTTCAGATACACGAGATAATGTTAAGTGATGTGTAAATCTTTGAAGTCAGGAGGGACTTGAAAATGGATTTCACTCTTCCTGGGGCAGCGCGTGCTTAACCAGCTGCACTGCCGACGCTTGTTTTGCCAGCACACTTTCTAATGAACTGTTGAATAAAACCAATGTTTGTCTTTCTTGCATATCCAATATACGGAGTTACTGGAATCAATGCCGATATGGCTTGCCAAGCCAAACCGTTGAGGTTCTCAGAAATAGTTGCAAACACAGATGTTTTATATTGTTTAGCAAGCCTGTTTACGATGGTAATGTTTTCAATATACCCGGTAAAGATGAGTGATATGCAAGACTTTGACGTCGGGCGAAACTTGGAAATGCGTTTCATTCTTTCTAGACGGCGCGTGCTTAACCATTTGTACTGTCGACGCATGTTTTCCCACCACGCCTCCAAACAGGTGAAATGCAACTTTGAATATCGCTGGAATCGTAGTTAAGGGAAGCTCGTGACTATGTGACAAATAGCGGAGGAGCGTTGCATGAGAGAAGGTGTAGTCATATGCACTGTACAGCGTGCAACTTTTATTTCTGTCAAGCTCACTGTCGATGTCTACCTAGTCAACATTTCCGCACCATTTCGATGGTTTGTTAACTGCACTATAAAAGTCGCTACTGATCAAGGATAAATTATGTACATAATGATTTGTCACTTTATTATCTGCAACAAACCTCATCAACAAATTTAGCGATGTGGAGGCATTAGCATGAGTTAAACTACCGACTATTTATAGGCACTTCAGAAGAAGACTCTACGCAGTAACATTTGCGATTGTCAAATAAGAGATTTTTTCAAACGAGGTTTCGTCGACTTAAAGACTTCTTGCACTGATCACCATCTGACGGAATTGCCATGCGTTCGCTTTTATCAAGACTTGTGGGGCGTGGTGAAAGGGTGAAAGTCGTAATTGTGTTCATAAAGACTTGTGACGTCCTATAATTGGTGTCTTAATTTTCTGAAGCAAGCGGTGCGCCAATTTTCCACTTCCAGTTGAATGACGGACATTTTTACTCCTGGGTAAAATGGGATCTCGTGTGTTTTGAAGGGTATTTCAACTATCCTGATAAACGATTCCACAAAATGGCATCCATTATGAAGTGTGGATTAGTTTTCAAGCATTCTGTCCATTAACCTTGAAACTTCTACATATCTTGAGCATAAGAATTACGTTGTAATAAACAAATGTCAACGTTATATCATCTCTATCTTATATCGCAAACAATCAAAGTGTATACATCTTGCTCAGCCTTTATGCTAAACAGAAATATAAAATCAGTGTTGTAATCCAGTATCAGAGTTAATCACCAGTGCAATGTGTAAACCTGAGCAAACAGACTGCAGAATGTATCAGTTTCTAATTAACAAACTAACACGAGGTTGTCATAAGACTTTTAATATGCGAGTGGTTTTTATCACATTTGTTTATCGTTATAAAACTAATATTCGGCAATTATAACACTGCATGACTGGCTCTAGATCTAGAGAAACTACTGTCCTCGCGAGAGGTCCACAAATAATTCGAGCACCACTGCCTAAAACAGAAATCTACACCATAGATATAACACACAAAAGACGATCCATAATTTTCCAGCAAAAGTGCAATCATGGAAAAGTAGCAAATATAAGCGAAGTTTCACAGCGTCAATGCCGTGCAACGATGCCAACGTGAAGAAAAGTTCAACTACAACAATGCACTGAGTTCGAGAAGGACCGATAAGGAGCAAAAACGAAGTAAAGTAAATTGAGAACAAATGGACGCCTACAATCTTCGCTTCGGATTCTGCTGCAAGCACAGAGCTGCGTTGCTGTTTTCAGTACATAAGATTGTGGCAGAAATTCGTGTCGATTGCCCTCGGCTCTCCGTTGTTGCGATGAAGCAATTCTTCTAAAGTGGAACACCGCGCGATTAAAATCCTCACTCAGCGGACTACTTTTGTACAGTCCGGTTGTGATTGATTGTCAATGATAGTGATTTCTATGATCAAACACAATCTTTTTTTTTTGAAATTTCTAGCATAAATGGTGTTAAACGGGATGTTACAAGCACATATCCACCAATGATGAATGGGTGATGTGCAAAAGGCCACATGTTGGACGGGAATCAAACTTGGCGATTCATCCCTCCACGGCGCGTACTAACCAACTGCGCTACCGACACTCCTGTTGTTCATTTACCCTTTCTGCGACACAAGGCATCCATCTGTGTGATCCGTCACCAACCAACCGTCAATGGTTTGATCTGGCAGGCACATATCGGTCTCAAATTTAGCAACGTTAACAGATGTTAAGTTTATGTACAATCAGTGGAAATCTTCTCCGGTTCTTCTGTTAGATGGCAACAAATGAAAATTCGACCTCACTCGCAGAACAAGATTTCCTTTTGAAAACTAAAATACCTGGCTAAAGTCGTGCGCGTCCGCTTGTTCAAAACAAACTTTTACAACGCTGTGAGATTTAGAATAAAATTATGCTTCCTCACTGCGCGCCCACATTCTTATCACACGTCTTATTCCCCCGAAGCACGAAAAGCATACGAACGTGTAAAGAAATTTTACAGTATTCTATTCAGACGCTTTGCGCGGATTTTCTTTCAAAGCAGAGAAAAGTTTGCAACTGATTAACAAGTGGCATCCTGCATGTCTAACACTTTAGGCCATCGATCAATCTGCCACTCACCTCCCCCTTCCGAAGCTTGTATCAACCGGTAAACTTGATATTACTTTCCTTGTTATCCTGCAGGATAACTGTCTTACCTAGAAAATAAGCTCAGCTTTGCGAATCGTTGGAACTTACGCTATTGAATGAATACTAATAGTCTAAAGAAAGAGCTACTCTTTGTTTTATACCGCTATCAAAAGTGCTTTCTCAAAAAAGCAAACACATTTTTGAATCCTTCAAAAGTTCTACTATCGAAAAAAATACTAACAGTCTAAGGGACGGATTTCGTTCAACGAAATATAAGTGAGATAAGAAAAAAACGCGTAGTCGCGTGGATCATAATCATATTTTGGATTTCTACACCGCCTGTTTAAGAAAACCGGCCGTGTATAGCTCTAGACTGAGATTTAAGATTCTGAATGATTATTAACCCTCCTATTAGAGTTTGTTGTGCAGAAAATGAGGTGAAATAATGTTTTATCGCCGTCAAACAGAAAAGTCTACTTTTTTCTGTGAATATCAACCAATGTTGAGCCGATAGTGCAATAGGTCAGCACATGTCCCTAATGAAAGTGAAACCCACCCGTACGGGTCCCGCTTGACCGTCAAATTTCAAAAATAAGATGATAAACAACATCACTTGCTGTTAACACAACGTCACTCCATTCTTGTTATGAATTAGGGTTCAGTGGAGGGCGTCTGGCTTCGATGAATCATTCGATAGCGCCGAAACCTACGTAAACCACTGACGCACCAGCCTCGAGTACGCTTTGAACATTCTCATGGATTACAATGAATGTGTATAGCGAGGTTTAGAAAGAATCAATCTGGGGAAGTATACGAAAGTGATAGTTGACTCGACTGCGTCCCGAGTTCACCAAGCAGTATACAAGTTTTTTTTTTTGATCATGAAAGTGTTTGACTTATTAGATGCATGAGTATTACTCTTTCAGGCTTCAAGGAAGGCAAGACTGGCGGAACCTTAGCCACCGATGCGAAGTCTATTTCTGTACTGAACTATTTTGTATAAAATAAACGTGTACTAACAACCTAGTGTTTGCTGAAGAGACGAAAGTCACGGAATTATCCAATCAATGCCGCGGTTAATCGATAGTCGGTCTTGTGAGTTGCTTCAAACACTATCTCTTCGGATGCGCCGAAGAGATTTTAATAATGTAAGCATAAGAGTATTTCAATATACCAAGTAATCACTGAGATTCTGAGAGCTGATTGTAGGACAGACATATCTGTGAGATGAAAAAGACGTTCTCATTCTCACACGACAGGCGACAAAAAATACGCATAAAGGGTAAGGAACATATTCATCAAAAAGGGATGTTGTTTTTTTGCACTGGAACTTACGAACTCTTTAGAATCATTTCATTACTTTATAGCAATCAAAGTGATCACAAGTACGACTGATTCATCCGTTTTCATAACAAAAGAGCATTGTTAAGAGCAACGAGGGCGTTCCAGTCTCCTAAATCTCATCAAAGTGATCATAATGATGATTGATTTATCCGTTATCATAATAAGATAAAGGATACAAACCTTTTCGTAGCAAGGTCATAGGTAATATTCTTAGCTTTCCTCTCAAAGCGGACACACAATTTTTGATTGAATAACAAAGAAATCAAAAGGTCGAGAATCGATTGATCACCGCGTCAACCCATCTTATCGCCTCAGTCAAAGGCTCGTTGATTATCCGAAAACCACTTGCCCGCGCATGCGAGTTAAAACTTTTTCCTGTTGCTCTGCAGAGAAACGGTTTGAATGGAAAATAAGCAGAGAATTAGAGTCAGTGAAACGCGCTATCAAATGAATACACTGATGTGCTAAAAAAGAGTTCTTTCCGCTTAGAAATATGCGCACGTAATTATATTCTTGATGTTACACCGTAATAAAAGGGGCCTTTCAAAGCGGGTTATGAACGGCTCCAGCCAGAGATTCAGTCT